CAGCCTTTTGTTGCAGAGTTTCTTTTTATTATAGACTTCACCTGAGTCTGAGCATCTGTTTTGGTCGCTACAATTAAAGGGTGTCCCTCCTAATGCATACCTGTTGCATGGCTATATAACTGTATCATCATTTTGTGATAATATGAAAGTTATAATTTTTATGGCCCCATCCTTTGACATTTAGTGTTGCGTGATGAATTATTCTGGGAGTCCACATTGCAAATTGTGGGAGCAACTTGTCTGTTCTTTCTGTCCCCATCAGCAAACTGAAGCATTCCTGCTGGCACAGGAATGGGACAACCAGTTAGTACTATTTATGATAAACCAGTTAATGAGGTTTATTATGGAGCACTAGCAGGAGTGCTCATTAACACCATTCTGTGCTAATGCCCATCCTCAAATGTTTGTTTCCCTTGTTTTCAGGCGTGTTTTGCCAAAGAGAGCATGCATTGCTGTTCCATTCTCAGCCTCTTGCAGTTGCATTTACACTCTTAATTCGGAAGTATGGCCAAAGCTTTCCCGTGCGTTCCAAAATTGGATTATTCCTAAGCTTTTGTATGTGCCTGATTGAAGGTATTCCTTTTCAGTGAAGGCAGAAGCAGGTGATGCTGTGCACTTCCTTCTCTTACACTTCCCTACCATCCCCAACACCCCTCCAGGGTGGAGGAAAGCAAAGTGTGTGCTGTTCAGTGTTCTGCTTGTAGCACAGGTCTGAGCTTGGCATTCCCTTCTTCAACATGTCCTTTTGCCCACTAAGGAATAGCTACTCCTTACTTATGTAAACTTAATTAGTTTATCAAGACAGACTGTACATTATTAGTTATAAACTAAGTTGCTTTGGGATAATGATGCTGCTGCATTATCAATGAAATGAATAAAAATTTGAACATTGCCTTCACATGTGTGAGACACAGGCTTTTCCCATGCCCCTTGTCTTCAGACACTACTAATTTTCTCTTGTTTTGACAGCATACAAAATAGCATGCCCTGGAGACAAGAGGGTTATGTTGTTAATTCCTGTTCCTAGCCTGGAATCTGTTTTGGTTTGGAATATGGAAAGGAACAAAGCTGTGGGAAACAGTGTTTCTGTCACTGGTTAGAGGAAGAGCTGCCTTGCACACACACACACGTTAACACATGCATGGTGTGAATCCAGAGTATGAGGAGACATTCACTGATGTACTGTATCTAGCAAAAATAAGCTATTCAGTTTTAATGCCATTTCCCAGTTCTTGGTCTCCTCCTTGGCTCATTTCCCAAACAAGTCTGAACTCTGAGCTGGGGATGTCTTTCATTCCCACTGCCCGTGCTGTTTGTTCTAGCCATTGGACCTTTTCCATTTCTGGGAGATGCTGCATCTCCCTGTTTCTCTGCCAGACTAATTTTTTTTTTTTGGCTTCAGTGGGCTTTGTGGTTGGAGCAGAGAGTGCTGAGTGCCTGGTCAGTAGTGTTACAGTTTCAGGGAAGGTAGATGATTAATTTCCAGGCTATTCCTATTCTGGGCTTTGTTTGTTTTGTTTCCTTTCCTCTTACTGTTATATAGAAATTGGGATTTTTTAGTTTTTCTCTCTGTACTCTCTTCCTATATAGAAGTAACATTTTTCAGACCATCATCCAAGGTCCCGTGAGGAAACAGTAACCAGTCTTTCGCTTCTTTATGTGGGCACACACAGAAAGACAAAGAGCACAGCCATCATGTCAGTGCAGCACAGAGAACGGTGCAGTAACAGTGGAGGATTTGTTTCTTCCTGCTATCTCAACTTTTTTTTTTTTCTTTGTTGATATTAAAGCATAAGTTATTCCTAATGCAGTTCTTCCTTAAACATTCGTTGCACACCGATAGGCTCAGCAGAGGTGGGGTCACCAGGGGAATGCATGACTCAGGCTTTTACACACTGAGTCAACAGTCACAATGAGTAGATTCATGTACTTTTGGCATGTAAGTACAAGCTGGCACTTCATTTCACTGAGTTCTGTTGATGAATTTTTCCAGAATTAATTCAGACATGGTGAAGTATTGAGAATTAACATCACCTGCGGGTAGGTTGGGCGTAGGTTATGGTGGAAAGCGTGTTGATGTTGTTACCCGCTCTCACGGTGTTAGGTTTGCAGTTAAGGAAACAGCCTCAGAATGCCTTTTGTGATTGAGTTTTCATCAGTTTCTGTTTGAGTGGTATGCTAATAATACCTAACAGGTTTAAATATATAATATGTAGCTGGTCTTCTGCTTTCCTAACTGTGTAATGCTTCATGTCCACTTTGTTTCATTGGAGACCTAAGGTTTTTGGAGACGTTGATAATAAAGTTGTTCAAAGGGCAATAATGTAGCATGGGGCTATGAAGCTTGCCAGGCTGCAAACAGGATATAACAAGCTTTTCTTCTTTGGCATCAGTTTAAAAGCAGTCCTTTTGTTTTGTTGAACTTTTCATTTGGCCTGTTTTGAAGGGAAGTGATGCACTGTGGCTCAAACTGACAACTTCTGTGTTCTTTACCAGGGACAACTTTATTGAATATCCTCTCTGACTGAAAGACGAGTTGTGAACAGCAGTAGTCCAGTGTTACAATAGAGATAAATAACACTGTCATCAAAGTAGATGCAGGTTTCATTTAATTTCATTTATCCTTCTGCACTGGTGTCTCCCAAAGACTTCTGATGCTTTATGCTGATCCTCCCTACTGGGGATATGCAGATGAGTTATTTTCCTTTCAGCTCTATCCAATGAAATTCAAGATCATGCTGTTAAGACACCTTTTTACAGGAAAGATGATCTAATGACTGGATTGCAGTATTGTCACAGAAATAAATTGTCTCCTATGTGCGGGTAGCACCAAGGTGGTGACCACTGAGTGCAAATCTTCTTCCTATTGTTAAAGATTTCTCAATAGGATGAAAACCCGTGCTCTTGGCAGCTATAAGATTTAGTCACATCTAGATAATATATTTGAGACAAGCCACAGCTGGATCAAACTGTTATTTGTGAGGATTTTACCTTCGTCCATCGTTCACTAGTACTTTTTGCAAGCCTTCAGCTGTAGAGCTCCTGCCTGAGTTAGTGGTAGTGGTTTTTTTGGGGCCTAATTATGCCTCATTGTTTTTCTCCCTTTTGTTGTGTTCTATTGAATTGTGAGCTGGCTAGCCTTCCTGTGTGGTGGGCGTGAAAAATTTGACTGTCTCTCTATTCCAGCTTCTGATAGTAAACATGAACTCTCTTGCCATTCCTCCGAAACTGTGCTACATTATAAAAACAATTTATTATAGGGTGTGATATTTAAGGGTTGTATGGTGGCCTGAGATCAGGTTTTGTGGGGGGAACTGGCTGTATTTGGACATCTCAGTGATCTGCTACTATTTTTGTGGTCAGTTTTAGAGAGGACAAAGTCAAATGGTGTCAAAAGGTATCTGCCCAACCTTTTGTACTTTAGCAACTGCTTTCCAGTAAGTCTACTGTAATTTTTCAGGTAATGTCAAGTAGTGCTAATAATCAAGTAGTGCTGTTTTAATAATTCTGTGAGTCTTAGCAGCAAGGACTTGTTGGCAACTCACTATTTGAGCCTTGTGCTGTTACATCAGCGGTTTCTTAAAGATTTCATCATGCACAAACTTTTATGCTTATCCCACTTTTTCCACCAAATTAAAATAGGGTCAGTTTGAGACTGTGTACCAGGAGATTTCACTGGCAGTTTGGACTAAAGCAAAAACTTTAATCTCTGAAGGTTAGATTTAATTGTCTCCCTGTCTCTTTTAACTGTAATAAAAGAGTGGTAAAAAAGCTTCAGCCAGTTTTCCTTTTATTTACTCCAGCAGCAGGTTCAAGCCCAAAGGAGAAAAAAGGTATAGAACAAGCTGAGTTGGCCTTTTGTATGTATCAGAGCTTTTCTAGAGTTGGCTCCTCATCAGACCAAGTTTGCTTGCTGTGAGGATAATCTGACTCACCTTTTGAAAAGTTAAAGGTCAGCTGCACTTGAGGAAGCCCCTGGTAGGCAGTGGCTCCTAGAAAAGACTCTCAGCTTTTTCTTGACAATTACCCTCTCTGAAACCATAGGCTTTTCTTTGCTTGCCTCAGGCTTCTGAGATCCCAGGGTAGTTTATTACCCTGCAGAAAGCGCTGGGTAGATCCCAACTCAGTGTTCACTGCTGTGTGCTCCTTGGGGAAGAATAGAAAGGTGGATGGTTTTTGCTTTTGAGCCAATGCGTGCCCCATTAATCTGTGTCCCTTCTGTGTAGCAGCTAATTGTGCATTTATTTATTTACTCTTTTTTCTTCAGTGCTTTCACCTTTTCATTTTGAAGGCACGAGGTGTGTTAGTGTAAAGAATGATCTCAGTCACCTGCATGACTGTGAGCCCAGGATAAAAATGAATTACTTAACCAGAACTGAATTTCTCTATTAGGTAGAATGAGTTTTAATAATGATGCTAAATAGGCAGAATGCAATTCCCATTTATATACCAGCTGCTGACAAAATAATCGGTTATGTTGCTGTCTGGTTTTAGGTATGTAGATTGATACCTGACAGCTAGTTCTGCTAAGTTCCCAAATAGTAACAAACAACATAAATCAACTTAACCACTGAAGCAATTAGCTGGTTTAGAATGTGTTCGAAACGGTTGTGTAACTGGGAAAATTGTCAGACAAGAGCAGATCCAATAAGGCTGCTAAGAGAGATTTTGTGGGCAAATTAAATGAGTACTTATGTCAAATTAACTACTACTGCAGCGTATGCGCACGCACGCTCGTGGACTGGGGCTGATGAGCCTCTGGCAGGGAGCTTTGCAGAAGCTGCGAGTATTTTTAGTGGAAACGAGATCTCAGCTCAGTTCTGTGGCATGTGACTTCCTATTTCTGTAGGTTACTTCCAAGGGACTTCCTCTGTTAAATCGACTTGTCTCCGGAGATTTAATCTGGAGCCAGAGCATGGTCTGCTTTGTTCAGTGCCTGTGACAGCATTTTCCTGGAGTTTGCTTTTGAGTATTTCATTTTTATTTTGCACTGTCTCCAGCGTGCAAGGATCTAGTGGCTGCTACCCGTGATCGGAAGCTGAATACGTTTATCCAAGTCTCAGTGGTGCATCCAGCAGAGCACATTTTGACGCGGTACTCAAGCACTGAAATCGTGGAGGTGAGAGTCTTTCTTGTTCAATTAACGTGTTGATTAATGGATTGCTCATTTCTTCCTTAGAAAGTGAATTAGGAATAAAACAAGTTAGTGCATAGTCTTGGGTAAGACAAGCACACTCTAGCAGTTAGTTAAGCATACCTAAGTGTACTGTAGCTCTTGGCATTTAACCAGGATAAACAGAAATTAACTTGGCTTTTCATGAAAGCTCTGTTGTTCCAAGTGGAGGCATGGAGAATATTTCAATTCTCCAGACATAGGTTTAGAATGAAAAAGGGAATAGTTGCTCTCGTGAAAGGACAAGGCAATGCAGAATAAAACATAATTAAGAGTGTAGTGAGTTTGGAAAATATTTTTAAATTGCTGAAAAATATAGGTGTATTGTGTGGTCTGTTATCCTATTTGATTCTTGTTGTATTTTGTCCATTAGAGAGTTGATGCTTTTGCAATTTGAAAAATTTGACCCTACATCTATAATTTGGGAAAAGAATGTGTGTACGTAATGTCTGTGACTTTATATAAAATAATTAGTCACTTGCATCATAAGTTACAACAAGAGTTGTCTGAGGCTGCTTTGCTAGTCCTCCTTTTGCCCTGTAAGCATCGGTGTCAGAAACAGCAAAAATGGTTCAGAGAAAATGAAGGGTGAGCCATGTAGGTGTAACTTGCTTAACTCACTGGAGAGATTCATTAAGAGCAGGGAAGTCTCATTGTAAACACACACATGATTTCGCCAGAGGCTTGTTTTAACTGTTAAGTACAATGAGAATATTTCATGAGCTCTTTGAGTGATTACTTTCAACCAACTACTAATTAAATTATTATGGTTTCAGCCCTCAACTATCCTGAAACTGCTTAATTCAAATATCTTGTATCTGATCGGGATGTTTCATTGCAGTCTGTCTGGAATGATGTCGTGCAAAAGATGAATAGATAACTTTTTTTAATAGAAGTTGATGCATTTCCTAATGCAATGTCCCAGACTTCAATAAATTCCTGATTTTTTTTTTTTTTTTTTGGTCACGGTTCTCTGCTTTGTAGAGGAAGGCAGGGGCACAGAAAGTTACTCCATAAGATAAATTACCATTGTCATACACAAACCTTTTTTTTTTTTTTTTTTTTTACTTAATGGAAAATTTAAGGATACATGTCTGGTAATCTCTGGAAATTAAGTATAATTAAACATTAAGAAATTATAAACAACATTTTATATGATTCATTTAATTGTATCTCTTTAGCTATGGTATAGTTACTTCTGTATACAGCTTTTAGGTGCAATGATAATGTTTCAAAGCAGAGGCATGTTCTTTTATTGCAGTACTGTGTAAAAAGTATTTCAATCCCCCCTCCACAAATCAATATCCTTAATGTAATACCGAGAGTCTCTGTAGCATTTCTATGTACTTATTATTGTGGCATAATGAAGATTGCTCTCTTTTGTATGTGTGTGCAAGTTAAATCTTTAGTTCATTTAAATTAAGATGAAATTATGGTACTTTCAGAAAGTGCCGTGGGAGTAAGAAAGGGTTTGGTTATTACAGGTTATATTCCAGAACCTGATACTGGCTGAGCTGTTTAAAAACGTGTTACTAGGCTCTGCTTCAGAAGCACTTCATATCCTTTCCAGTTAAAAAAAACTTTCCAGGAAGTTGTTGTGGTTTTGTTTGGGTTGTGTTTGTTTGTTTTTATTTTTCCTGATAAAGTTTTAAGGTTGTTTGTTTTTCTCATTGGGTAATAAAACAGCTGTTCCCATCTCTCTGCTGTAGACAGGTGACTCCTTTTGGGTTTCTGTACCTGCACAGTGACATCCCACACATTGCACAGCTGTTACCTTACTGAGTGTTTTCTCATGTTGCACAGGGTACAAAAGATCCACTGTTTTTGACTGGTGTGACCTTCCCACCGGAATACCCCATCTATGAGGAGACTAAAATAAAACTAACAGTCTATGATGTCAAAGACAAATCCCAAGACACGGTAAGTGCTTTGCTTCATTCCTTGCACAGATCTTACTGAGGAACAAGTTTCTTGCTGTGTTGTTCTTTGGCTCTCATTAGTAAATTGGGGAAATGGGTTAATGTAAAATTGGTTTTGTTGTTTTCTTGTTCCTAAAATCTACTTTATCTGTTGTTGATTTGTTAGAGAATAGAGAAAGAGAACCATGCACTTAAGATGGGTACTTTGCTATTGGCTTTTTAACTGGTTACATGAGGCAGCACAAGTATTCCTGGTAAATAAAAGATTGCTCTGGTGTGCTTTTTGAGGGCAGAGAACACATGGAATAGACTGAGATAGCACCACTGTGAATAATTTTTCAGAAATTTGTTTCTGATAATATTTTACTTGTATGCACAAACCTGAATGACAGTAGAACTGTGTAACCTGAGAGAGAGCTACTCATATTTTATTTCGATGTCTTGTGTGGTGATACCTGCAACTTTTCTGTCACTGCTTCTGTTATTGATTTGTAGCAGTCCAAGCTCTACAGTGTCACAGCTAAAGGTGAATCATTTGGGGTTCTGGTGTTATACATTCTTGAATACAGAGTCAGCTTTTTATTCTTAGAAGTTACTCACTCGAGCTGATTTATGGAGGTCAGTAGGACAGTCTGAGTGATTTAACTGCCAAATATAGAGCTTGAGTGCCATTTTATGTGTTCCAGGTAATCTAAGACAGCCTTACAGAGCTAGATGTCATCATAGGACCTATGGGAGATGTGTGTTTTTCTTCTGTGGCAGCTGGAGTCCAGCTGATAGCTTGCTCTTGGGCATCAAGAATGGTCCTTAACACATGTATTTAATTAACTGAATTGCTCTCTACGTATCTGTAGTTGGCACCCAGCATGATTAAAGCAAGTGCAGGCTTATGTCCTGACTGTATATGTGTTCATTATCCATAAGAAGGGAATTAAAGGCACAATTTAAAGCTTGAGACTGTTTTTGATCTGCTTAGAAAAGTAAAGTTGTATGTTTTGAGAACTCATAATTTTTTCCAGGTAGAAAATTATTGATCTATTTGTTGAAATTTTCAGCCTTTGTGAGCAAACAGGTTGGTTCTGTCCCCTCACTGTGCTCTTCCACGGGAATGTGTGGAATATTGTAACTTAGAAACTGGATTTCTTCTGTGTTTAAGAATAGCTGGGGAATGAACATGTACGTGTATTTTTTAACACATGTAATTAACATCTGGTAATGGATTAGACTACAGGGCCTTAAAATGGGATCTGCTGTTTATTCAATAAAGCTGCCACCTGTGGACAGGTAACAGGCATTGAGTGAATGGAGTTGGACTTTGTCCTTCACTTCCAGTTTCATTCTGACTGACAGACACTGGAAAATAATATCCTATCTGTAAGTGATAAAAGTGAACTGGTTTCATAGTACTGCTCCCTGTACTATTGCTTTTCTAGCTCCAGGCTTCTCTACTGTCACTTATGCAGGAGAAGATCTACCCTAGAGAATTAATATAGTTTGATAAGCTTTTTGCAAACCTGTAAGAACTTTCTGTAACTGTTCCTTACAAATGAAGTACAGGACTAGAGTCTTTCCCAGGGAGTGCTACTGATGTAGCTTATAAATCATGAGAGAATACCTTTTTCTTTTGTCATAGCATTTATATTGTTCCTATGTGAAACGTTCTAGGTCTTTACTGTAGCATCTTTTTATAAGGGAAAATATTAATCCCATTTCTGGTTTACATACATCTAACATTTTTTTACTACTCAGCCATTCTACAGCTGGATGTAGGTAAGAAAAATTTAAATAAGATGTAAGATTTCAATCGAGGTGGGCTGCAGCATATGTGAATGACCCCAGGCTACCCTGGTTGCAACTTCATTTGTGGCAATATTTGGACTTCTGTTTGCATCTTAAAATCTCAGGGATGATAAAACTTGGCTTCTTACCTGTAATTAAGTAGAAGCCATCACACTTTCCATTAGTTTGGGTGACTTTTTTTCAAGTCTGGGTGTTGATGTAGGTTCATAAAAGTCAGGTTGAAATGAACTATAACTTGCTATCATTATCAGCATTGCTGGAACAGCGCAGACCTCCATGCTTGGTTCTCAACCCAAGAAACTGGATGTGTCCTTTTGGCAGTAAAACTGCTCCAAGTGCTGTGGTGCCACAGTTCTGATTCTTCAGTCTGCAGTAGTGCTGGCTTTCCTGTTCCCCAAAAAGTGCTGCCACTCATATTTTGGCTGCCAAATGTAGTCCCACCATTCCTACAAACAGACAGGTAATCCAGCTGGGGATGGAGGGGAACCCAGGCCTGCTGGGTGTGCCCTGCTCCTCTAGGCTGTGCTCCAGAGCAGACACCAGCTCGAGTAATTGGGCATTTATGGCAGAAATAAACCTTGGATTTGACTGGGTGATATTTTGCAGAAATTGTGCTACAGTAATAATTCCCACAGCATCAGGGCTCTGCTGCTGCTTTCTTCAGTTAATAAGCTCAAAGAAGCTAATATCTCTTGTCACAAATATATACTTTTTCCTTATTTCTCTTGTTGCAACTATAAGAAGTGACTTCTGTGCATTAATTAAACTCAGCAGGATTTTACTGCCACAAATAAAGGCTGTGGAGAAGGCAGGGAAATGGCAGTGAACACATCACAGAGTAAAGCGTTTTCTTGGGTTTTGTTAAACCTGACTATGTCTATACAGGAAAATTAGCTCTCATTTTCAAACCTGCTGGATTTCTACTATAATACAAGACTAACTAAATACTTGAGTTGTGAACACAGGTCATAATATTAAAGTGAAAGAGGATGCTCCTCACTGAGAAACAACCAGAATTTCTTTTTGGCCTGCTCTTTTAAAAAAATCTTGAAAATAACCATTCAGTGCTGGTATTCCTGTACCAGAAAGCTGATAGTTGTTTCACTCTTGCCTGTCATTTAACTTACATTATGTAAGATGTGTGGTTTAATTATATTGAAATACTGTGCAGCTGGGATCACATTCACTGTGCTTGACACACTGAATGTTCTGACTGCACTTTTCACTTTTTATGCATCTCTGTCTGATGTTGATCATAATTATCTCTTGGCTGTGTCAGGATTTCTGTAACTGAGGCTGTTTAATTTAATGAAATGGAGGTTTCTGTTTGTTTTGACTAGTCTTTCTAAGTGATTAGTTACTGTAAGTTTTCATGTAAATAGAAACTTTTAACAAAGACTGTTATTCCAAGTTTACTTTGATATAGTTAGAATAAAGTAGTTGGAATGCCTATGAAATATCATTTATATATATCCGGTGAAGCTACACATACAGATCAGTGGGTAATGCCATATTATGAAAAATGTATAGTGACATCTCTTTCTATATCACAAAGATTTTTCTTCTCATATTGCCATGAGCAAATGTATGTTTTGCTGGCTTGAGCTACACTATCTTTAGGATTTTAGAAACTTGGGTTGTGTTGTAATGCTGGGGCTGTATCTGTTCTTTGTCACTGTCTAATAAGATCAGAATTATAGGTTTTAAACTGTTCAAAAATTGCCTCTGTCCCATTTTTGTATAAGCATGCTGTTCCTACCTTTCTTATAAACATGCAGGTTAGCCCAGTTTGGTCTAGTAAATTTTAGAGCTGCAGGCGGGTTCATTCTCTGGGAAAATATTGCATAGCACAAGTCAGGTAGCCTTGCCACATGACAGGGACACAGAAAACACAAAGCTGATGGTTTTGGGTTCCACTGTGAGGAGTCTAGAGCCTACTCTGGGAAGCAGCAGTTTTGTGTTTGGAATACGTGTGTCCTGCAGCAAGAGCTAAGAACCTCACCCCAGTGAGTTGAGCCACCTCTTTTTCATCCACACTTGGACAAAGTGCTGGGAGCAGAGGCAGGAGCAATTTTCTGTAACTGCTGGGAACTTTCTGTATCTTATCTTTGCATCACACCTTCAAAGATAATCTCCTTTGGATGGATATCACTACTGGAATTCACGTGTGATACTGAAAGTTACACACAGCCACACCAATGTTATCTCCTGAGAGCAAGGAGAAACTGGATGTATAAAAGGCTGTTAAAATATTGCACGTTTGGCAGTCTGGGCTTCCTTTTTTTACTTCCCAAATTTCATCTTAATCACTGAGAATAAAATTAGATTAATTGGATAATTTTAGAAGTAGTGGGGCTAGAACTTCTGTTTTGGATATAGCAACACATGTTGTAAAGTGGCAATTTTAGATTACCTAGGCTTTAAATTATATGTCTTTTAACTCTTGGGATTTGAATCTTCTATTAAACCTGTTCACTAGGAATGAAATCTTGCAAAACTTGCGTTTTTCTTGATTTTTGCAAGTGTCTCTGTTAAAATTGAATCCCCCTGGGGTGAGTGGGAAATGAAGACTGTCCATCTCGACAGAGAGAGGCATTTTGAGTTTAGCTGTGAAGCCAAATCTGAAGTGACAGCGTTCCGTGTTCCCTCGTGGGCATTGATCCCTGCCACACCACCACCATGGTGCAGTTTGGTCCTGGCTGCTTTGCCATCTCTGCTGAAGGGACACAGGGCTGCAGCATTTAGGAGTGCTGCAGAGCAGTGTGTGAAATGCATTAGCAGAGAGAAATGTGAAATCTGGTGCCTCTCCTGCTCTCTGCCTGCACCAGAGTGCGCTCAGTCCCTCGCTCCTATGAACACTAAAAATACTGAAGCAGTTTCTCTTCAAAAACTGAGGCAAAGTGCTATATTTTGTTTAAAGAAAAAGTCACTTAAGTCTTCCCTTTCTCAATTCTGTTCGCTGCTGCCTCTGCAGGATTTGCAGAGAAATATTGCTTTACATTAAAAACTCTCATTATCTCATTCTCTTTAATAGAGCAGTACTGTAGACTACTGCAGTCCTACCCACAGAAATACTTTGACTAAAGCTTTAGATGTTCATGTTTCTCTTCGAAATCATGTTTTTTTTTTTTTTTCATAAATATATACTTGATGATAGATTTAGTTTTCCTTTTGCATCAGGCTAGATGTTCTTACTAAACA